TTAATCATTTCCTTGTACGTGAATGCCTCCATCCTATACATGAAGTCAAAACTATTCCAACCATTTGCAGATCTGGTCGAAATAGGGTCTAAATATAAGGTCGAAACTGATTTTTATATGTAGTTGCCTCAAGTCGAAACATTTTGATTTTGGGGTTTTAATTTCGACTTCATGTATACTCCATCCATCAAATATTCATGATCATCGTTGACATAACAAAAAATTGCGTCACTCAGGTAGTAATAACACCAAGGCCATGCATAAATGAAAATCTTAACAATATGTGTCTACCCAGATCTCTGAGATTCACTAGAATAAATGAATAGGAAGGATAAAAAAAAAAATCCCACAGGTGAAACAATTAAACAAGTTGGTAGTAGGCTTTGGACAAAACTTTTCTTTATCTTCTCCTCAGACCAGGCTTGGCTGTTATCATATGGGCATTGACTACTGGTTGCTTTGTGTTATACCCTCTCACTATAATAAAGTTGGTGTTAAGACTGGTACAAAATTCTGCAACTTGAAAGGTTGCAACCCAAGTTGCTGTTTTGGATTTTCCCTGGATCCAGAGTTTTGAGTCTGTTTTATTCGAATTATTCGTTTAACCGTTTTATTCGAACCATTCCTTTATTCGCTTTATTCGAATAAACTTACAATGTAATTCGAATACCCAAATTCATGGCGGGTAAAACAAACAATTCGAATAAACCTTGTTCGAATAGAAACCCTAATCAAGCAGTATAATTGTATTTAGTGATTTTAGTTTAGTTTGAACATTATTGGCTGTGTTCCAGGTAAATGTGTGCCAAAATTTGGTGACTCCGTAATAAATAATTCGGATCGCACGTTCGCGATATTTATAGGCCGTAAATAATTATGGAATTACGGATTTACTGTCTCTTTAGAGTGTCATGCCGGATTTATTTACGTAATGCCGAATTGTTGTAATTCAATAAAATTTAGAAAACTTCAATTATGGCAATATATTTTAATTATCCAATTATAGTATTAAAATAGCACTACTTGTACCTCTCTTTCTGTAGAAAGAATATTTTTACACATGAAATAATTAAAAACAATTTGAGAAGCAAAATGCATTTAAACACATTAGATGAACATTTAATGATTTTATTAAATGGTCCGGAAATTAAATAAAGACTTTGATTTTTAAAAGTAAACGAGAATTAGGAAAGTAAAAAAATAATTAATTTTTATTTGTAAAATAAAATTTCGTCGTACGCCCAACTGAATTTTCAATAAATAATAATAGTAATAGTAATAATAATAGTAATAATAATACATTAGAATTTTGCTGCAAACATCATACGAAAATGTCTTGTAGTCGCATATTAACAATACATAGAAATAGGTAACCACAACAGATTTTATGGTACGGCGTGATATTTATCCGCCTATGACATTAAAAAAAATTTTGATCAGGTCATACGATTTTTATCTTAATATATATTTTGAATATATATAATAAACGAAGAATGAAGAATAATTAATTAATTTGATTAATTACAAATTAAAAAAAATATTTTTGAAACCATAAAATCAGTAGTGTAACATAAAATATCCGATGATTTTTTTCCAAATTTGGACGTAAAGTAAAATTATTTAACATTAAAACAATTATAAAATAACCAAATATATTTTTTTTAAAAAATTCTTCGATTACCATTTTTCATTCATTTATATAATTTAATTTTTTCTCGCCGGTCGAGTTTATGGTTACTCATTCTTAAAATATAAATACATATATTCGCATACATTCATTTTGTGTATATAATAAAAACAACAACAACAACAACAACAAAAGCTCAAAATGAGAGAATTAACAGGTAAAAATGATAATGATATGCTCAAACATTCAAATGATTTTGAAACCTAATGAATGTGTTAATGCTTTGGTATAAGAGAGAGTTATCCAATTGGTACTGACAGACCAAATATTATTTATTCTGATGAAATAGCTTTAAGTGGACAAGATTTTCCCAAAAGATCTTTAGACGAAGATAGCAAACTCAGAAAACTTGACTCCATCAAAAAGCCAGTTGCTAGAGGTGATTCGGTCAAGAATTTGAAAAGACTTAATTCTAATAACAATTCTGTAACTGTTAAAAAACCTTTAACAAGATATGAAAAATTTCAAGCTTGGATGGTTAATGAAGGTATAAATTTTGTATATATAAGTGATCAATTATTAATTTAAACAAAATTGCCATCAATACATATTTTACGTATTTAAGATTTTTTTTTCTGACCTTAAAAAAAATTAATATTATTTAGGAAATCGAAAAATATTTTTTACATTTTGGATTTTACTTCATGGATTAGTTTTTTCAATGGCGTTTTTGAATTTCTTATTTAGTGATAATTTGTCAACAGCTCGTTCTATTTTTGGTATAACATATCCAATTGCTCGTTCCTCGGCCTTGGTTTTACATGTAGATGCAGGCCTTATACTATTTCCAGTTTGTAGAAATTTGATTTCTTTATTTCGTACAACTCCATTAAATGCCATCATACCATTCGATGAAAATATTGAGTTTCATAAGGCCATCGGCTGGTCAATATTATTTTTCTCTTTGTTGCACACATTTTCTCACTGGGCAAATTTTGCTAGATTGACTATTGCTTTGAATGAAGATTTCCTCTATTTTTTGAAATTAAATTTTTTAAGTGGTCCTGGCGCAACTGGTTATGTTATGTTGGTATCTTTGCTTATAATGGTCATTACAGCTACAGATAATCAGAGACATAGAAATTTTAATAGATTTTGGTATTCGCATCATCTATTTGTAGCTTTTTTTGGTGCATGGGCATTCCATGGAGCATTTTGTATGATAAAACCTGATAGACCACCATTTTGTAGTGATATTGCTGTATTTTGGAAATATTGGATAGCATCTGGTACAATTTATATTGGTGAACGTATTTTACGTGAGATACGTGCACGTCAAAACACATATATATCAAAAGTTGTTATGCATCCATCAAGAGTAGTTGAAATACAAATCAAAAAAAAAAATATTGTGACCAAAGCAGGTCAATACATCTTTTTATGCTGCCCTGCAATATCTATACTTGAATGGCATCCATTTACTTTAACCTCTGCACCAGAAGAAGATTATATATCTGTACATATTAGAACTGTGGGTGATTTTACTAAAGCATTGGCAAAGAAATTAGGTTGTGACTTTGAGGAAGAAGAAAGGTTACGTAAAAAAGCAGGGAGCGAAAATCGTGCTAAAAGTACTTATGATGGAATTGATATTTCAATAAATAGTCCAGAGTTGAAGAAAGTTTTACCTAGAGTGATGATTGATGGTCCTTTTGGTAGTGCTTCAGAAGATGTATTTAAATTTGAAGTTTCTATATTGATTGGTGCTGGTATTGGTGTAACACCTTTTGCAAGTATTCTAAAAAGCATTTGGTAATTATTTTATTATTATTTTAAAAAAGAAATTGTTGATTGGTGAATAGCTAGTTTAGTTGATGATTAAATTGATATTATTATTAACTGTTGTTGTGATTGATATTGAAGGTATCGTATAAACTATCCAAAAAAATCTACAAAGTTACGTAAGGTTTATTTCTTTTGGATTTGCCGTGATTATGATGTGAGTCTTTTCAAAAATATTATTATTATTATTATTATTATTATTATTATTGTACAATGAGAATGGTAAATAGGTTTTACATGAACCTTACTAACACATACGTATATTATTTTTTTTTAAAAAAAAAAAATTTTGTTAATTACGATAATAGTCATTTGAATGGTTCCAATCATTATTACTAGCTATTGAAGAACAAGATATTGATCAATTCATTGAGATTCATACTTATCTTACAGCACGTTTACGACATTCTGATATTGGTAATATATTAGTGAATGATGATGGTAATATTAAAGATACCATTACTGGACTTCGTGCACCAACGCATTATGGTAGACCAAACTGGGATAGGATTTTTTCAAATATGAGGGAACAACATCCGTCCACTGATGTTGGTGTATTCTTTTGTGGACCAAAACCACTGGGAAAACTATTAAATAATAAATGTAATTTATGGAGTCAAGGATCTGAAGAGGGCACAAATTTCGTTTATGGAAAAGGTAAAAATACGTTTTGTTTATTTTTGCAAGTATTAATTGTTTGTCAATTTGAATATTAAATTAATATTAATGTTTTTTTTAATATTATTACTACAGAAAACTTTTAAAAAATTTGGGTTTTTTATATTTAAATGGGGAAAAGGAAAAAAGGCTAGGCAACCGGATAGATATTATATATATTTAATAGAGAATTGTAAAAATAAATTTTTATAATAAAAATTTATTTTTGAAAAAATAGCTGAAACATTTCTTGCTTGATTTCTTATTTAAAAAAAAATCATGTCCATGATTGTGATTTGATTTGTGAATTTTTAACTCATATGTTAGTCCTTGGTGCAAAGACTATAAAAAGTAAAGAAAGTGAATGATTAAACTCAGGAATTGGCCTAAATTTTCTTAAAATATTTCTTTTATTTATTATTAATAGCTTAAAAAATTGATATTTACACGTCTTTTCATTCATGAAAAACGTAACTGTTTTTTATTATAAGTAGTAATAACAGTAGTAGTAATGATAATTTAACACGACACACATCATGCAAGTGCCCGAATAAGATTACATATGTAAACTCGATAAGTCGGCCAAAATTTTCACCCCGTTTCTTAATATTTAAGTAATTTAATTCGATAAGTCGGTCATATGAGCTCACCCCCACATGACCGACTTATCGAGTTTACATATTAATATCAATAGGGATTGCGTCGTCACGAATTGTCTTGAGTTACGTCTTGCGACACGAATTGCATCCTACATCTCTTGCATCATGAATTGTGTTTTGCGTCACGCATAACACCAATTGCAGCTTTTAAACCACTATAACTATACTGTTTTGTCTTTTTATTTAATTAATAAAATTTAGGCAAATAAAACTTATTATTATCTAAATTTATGTAAATCACAAAATTTTCTTATTATTCTTATTATTATTAACCCAAAATCAACCCGGTCCAGAGTCCAATAAAATGATTGGACTGGCAATTTTGACAACACTGTTTATGTAATTATAATCCATTTTTATTATGTAGGCTTATGGAAATGCATTTGCTGTTATATTAAACCCTTCCTTTGAAGTTTTAATGTTTTTGGATAAATCCAGTAAAGGTACACTGGATTTCTTATTATCCCATTTTGTGATAAATTTGTGTTGGTGATTTATTAAAATAAAATCAATTTTTTATATTAGATACTATTAATTCAAAAAAATCAACAATAATTCCTATAACCAATATAACAATTCCTGATCAGAGTTCTTATACATATGCTCGTCAATTCATTTCAATTACCAATATTGTAACTGTCACAAAATTCACATTTAAAGTAAATAACCTAATTCCTTATATATTATTTTTAATCTATCTCAAAAAAAACAGTTCGATGACCTAACTGATGTGACTAAATTAGCTCAACAATTACTTTGTCACGCGTTAGATATGAAAAAAGTAATATTTTATATATACATATTTACATTATCAATGAAAAAGTGTCAATCAACTAATAAAAAATTAATTTTAATGATATAAGCCAGAATAATGGAGAATGATTGGTCAAAAATCAGGATGTTTGAATTTCGATTGAACTTAGATGAGAAAGCTCAGCTTATGAATAAAATAGATTCATTCCAATGTATAAAATGCCCGGAATTAAATGAACATGTGAATATATATTTTTGGCTGTTAATATTTAATTAGATTTGGTTTAAATAGAATTTATCTATATGAAAACTTAAAACTTATTTTTTATATGCATATATTTAGTATGGTCTTATACATGAAATAATGTCATTAGGAAAGAAACTCGATGAATTGCTTCATACAATAACTGGTGAAAATTTGGAATTAATGCCAGAGTATGAACAAAGAATAGAAGTTCTTAAATCTTTAAAATATATTGATGAAAAAACTTCAGTGGTTCAATTGAGAGGTCAAATTGCTTGTAAGGTGTGTATATATATTCTTGATGTGGATCATAAAATAATATTATTATTATTATTTTATTACACTACTTGAAACAATTGTTCGCTTTTTGCTATTTACTTGATTACTATATAATTACAGATTGTTAAAAAAGCAGACAATGGTTTTACATAAGGTAATAATATTTACACCATTTATTCTTTTATTATAGATTAATACTGCTGATGAATTGTTAGTCACTGAATTGATTTTTGGAAATGTTTGAAAGAATCTGAATATGACCCAGCTGAAATCGTTGCATTATTATCATCAAGAAAAAATGCTAGTGAACTGACTTTAACTCCAAACTTAGAAAAAGTAATGTTCATTCAATATTTTTGTAGTGTATATATATGATCAAAAATATAATATCTAGTTAATTTATCTTATTTATGAAAAAAGGGTGTTGCAGAAATAAAAAAAGTTGCGAAGTATGTTGGAGAGGTTCAAAGAAAAAAAAAATGTTGATATTCAAGTAGATGATTATGTTGAAACAATTAAGTTTGGATTAGTTCAAGTAGTATATGAATTGGCAAGAGGAATGGTAAACTTTTTAAATTTTGTTATTGTGGAGCAAAGTTTTTTCAGGACTTGATGTTTATTTAAAAATTTTTTAAAAATGCCATTTAAAAATATAATGGAATTGACAGATGTGATGGAGGGTTTCAATTGTTCGATGCATTATGAGATTAGATGAAACTGTAGTGAAATAAAAAGTGCTGCACAGTTAATGGGAAATATAGAATTATGTGCTAAAATGGATAAAGCTCGAAGTTTGATAAAACGTGATATTGTATTTGCAACTAGCTTGGTAAGTAGTATGATAATACATGATGATATTAAAAGTTCATTTGTAATTATATAATCTGTAAAAGTTATATAATGTAATACTTTTAAAAATGAGTGATCTGCATTGATTTTAAATAAGGATCATCTCAATAATCTCCAACCAATTTTCCAAAAAACAATAAAAATGACTGACCAACTCTTATTAAAAGTAAAATTTAATTTCATTAGGTTCAATCATTCCTCATTTACATTATGGACCAAATTTACAGCACTGGTGGTCCCTACATAATGAAAAAAACTTGGAGGATGGTGTCTTATTATACCCTATACGTGTTGGATGGCAAACACACTGGATTTCTTATTATCCCATTTTGTGATAAATTTGTGTTGGTGATTTATTAAAATAAAATCAATTTTTTATATTAGATACTATTAATTCAAAAAAATCAACAATAATTCCTATAACCAATATAACAATTCCTGATCAGAGTTCTTATACATATGCTCGTCAATTCATTTCAATTACCAATATTGTAACTGTCACAAAATTCACATTTAAAGTAAATAACCTAATTCCTTATATATTATTTTTAATCTATCTCAAAAAAAACAGTTCGATGACCTAACTGATGTGACTAAATTAGCTCAACAATTACTTTGTCACGCGTTAGATATGAAAAAAGTAATATTTTATATATACATATTTACATTATCAATGAAAAAGTGTCAATCAACTAATAAAAAATTAATTTTAATGATATAAGCCAGAATAATGGAGAATGATTGGTCAAAAATCAGGATGTTTGAATTTCGATTGAACTTAGATGAGAAAGCTCAGCTTATGAATAAAATAGATTCATTCCAATGTATAAAATGCCCGGAATTAAATGAACATGTGAATATATATTTTTGGCTGTTAATATTTAATTAGATTTGGTTTAAATAGAATTTATCTATATGAAAACTTAAAACTTATTTTTTATATGCATATATTTAGTATGGTCTTATACATGAAATAATGTCATTAGGAAAGAAACTCGATGAATTGCTTCATACAATAACTGGTGAAAATTTGGAATTAATGCCAGAGTATGAACAAAGAATAGAAGTTCTTAAATCTTTAAAATATATTGATGAAAAAACTTCAGTGGTTCAATTGAGAGGTCAAATTGCTTGTAAGGTGTGTATATATATTCTTGATGTGGATCATAAAATAATATTATTATTATTATTTTATTACACTACTTGAAACAATTGTTCGCTTTTTGCTATTTACTTGATTACTATATAATTACAGATTGTTAAAAAAGCAGACAATGGTTTTACATAAGGTAATAATATTTACACCATTTATTCTTTTATTATAGATTAATACTGCTGATGAATTGTTAGTCACTGAATTGATTTTTGGAAATGTTTGAAAGAATCTGAATATGACCCAGCTGAAATCGTTGCATTATTATCATCAAGAAAAAATGCTAGTGAACTGACTTTAACTCCAAACTTAGAAAAAGTAATGTTCATTCAATATTTTTGTAGTGTATATATATGATCAAAAATATAATATCTAGTTAATTTATCTTATTTATGAAAAAAGGGTGTTGCAGAAATAAAAAAAGTTGCGAAGTATGTTGGAGAGGTTCAAAGAAAAAAAAAATGTTGATATTCAAGTAGATGATTATGTTGAAACAATTAAGTTTGGATTAGTTCAAGTAGTATATGAATTGGCAAGAGGAATGGTAAACTTTTTAAATTTTGTTATTGTGGAGCAAAGTTTTTTCAGGACTTGATGTTTATTTAAAAATTTTTTAAAAATGCCATTTAAAAATATAATGGAATTGACAGATGTGATGGAGGGTTTCAATTGTTCGATGCATTATGAGATTAGATGAAACTGTAGTGAAATAAAAAGTGCTGCACAGTTAATGGGAAATATAGAATTATGTGCTAAAATGGATAAAGCTCGAAGTTTGATAAAACGTGATATTGTATTTGCAACTAGCTTGGTAAGTAGTATGATAATACATGATGATATTAAAAGTTCATTTGTAATTATATAATCTGTAAAAGTTATATAATGTAATACTTTTAAAAATGAGTGATCTGCATTGATTTTAAATAAGGATCATCTCAATAATCTCCAACCAATTTTCCAAAAAACAATAAAAATGACTGACCAACTCTTATTAAAAGTAAAATTTAATTTCATTAGGTTCAATCATTCCTCATTTACATTATGGACCAAATTTACAGCACTGGTGGTCCCTACATAATGAAAAAAACTTGGAGGATGGTGTCTTATTATACCCTATACGTGTTGGATGGCAAACAGTTTTAGAAACAAATAATAAACACTTTTACACTCAAGTCCAAGAGGGAATGAAAATTATGAAAATTGACCTGGTTATAAGTGTCATATTGATGCAAAATATAGTGGTGTTGAAGAAAAGCCAAGTCCAGCAGTTACTTCTTTGTATAGATGAGTTTTTCCAGCAAGTAATACAAATTATTCTGGACCGCAAGTACTGGTATGGACTAATTCCGAACTACTAGAACAATCATTGACAGGGATTGAGTTTTGGCCATTTTTGATAAAAATTGACAGATATAATATATATGTTACTGCTTTAGGATGTCCAGATGAAATTAGCAATTTTGGAGCTGGGATTGGGTATTCAGCAACATTTTTTGGTGAATATTTAGGTAAAGGGGCAACATATGTTCAAAGAATTGATGTAGATGGATGCCATATTGAAATTTTTCAAGACAATGAATTAAAAAAGGAGTATTTAGGAACATCCCCAAATGATGTTTGGATCAAATCAAAAGAATTAAAAAAATTTCAAGGAACTCAATTTTTTGGACTGGAACATTTATTAACAGAGAAAATTTTGGCAGAGTTCAAAATCCCAAAATGTGATGCAAGGTTTTGGGAAAATATAAATATCATGAACCACCTTTATAATTATCATCTTCGACACCAAACTAAATCTAACATCCAATGGCACTAGTTTTTCATAAGATGGAAAAATAATTCAAGCACAATAATAGAATTTAATTCTCTTTTAGCAGAACTTTACCCATCAGGATATACTTTCAAAGAACATGAACTTAGAGCATGGAGAGCAATGCTTAAAGCAGCTGGTTGCCATAATGTAACTCCATTTGAAGATGATGAATCTAAGGTAATTTGATGAAGATAAATTTAAATTCAATTTTTATTTAAAATTAATAAATTCGAAAAAAAAAAAATATAGTATCAATTTTGGAGTTGTTCACTAAATACATTACAAGATCAACAAATACTTTCTCAGTTGTATTCTCTGGGGTTTCTGTCACCAACACCAATACATAAAAAAACTCCAATAGATGAAGAGCATATAAGCAAAAGTTTTTGGTAATGTTTTGGAGAAGCACTAAATGAAAATAAAAAGGGGCAAGATGGTTGTATTCATGTGCTGTCAATAATTGCAAACAAATTTACCCATGCTGAATTGCAAGAAAAGCTTTGTGTAAGTAAATTGTCACATCATTAAAATTTTTGAAATTGTATTTATATTATTTACTTTTAATAATAATTAAAAAAAATACTTATGTTTTATGAAGTTTTCGGCAAACAGTGTGACCAGTGCCAGATTGTATGCTAAAACCAATGGCCCTGGTTGCCTTGAATTAGGCAAATCTGCAATCACTAAAGTAAAACTGTCAAAAGAATCACTGGATCAATTTATGACATTTTTACTTGATAAAAATAATACAACACCAAGTTCATATAAGGTAAATGAAGCAAGTGGCCTCCTGTAATGTATTTAAAAAACAATAAAGAATCATTATGGCAATGTTTTTTTGAATTATATCCAGATGGTATGAAAAGGACAGCTTTTATGACAAGATTAGAAGATAGCTGATTTGTATATTGTGAAGATCTTGGTGGCTTGTGTTTGACATGTAATGAATATGGATTTGGTGTTTTTGAAGAGATGAAATCAATTGTTCAAGAAAAAATTAATAGAAAAGATATCCAGGTTAGTGAATTGATGCTCAAATAATTTTAAAGAAATATTTTTTAATTTGATTATTCATTACTAGAATGAATTGATAACTCAACTTGAAAAAACACAACATCATTTGAATCAAGAATATGGAAATGAATTGATTATAGATGACCTTGGTAATGTGCAGCATGATAATTGTATTGAACATTGTTTAAACTTTGCATTGGTGATTGCAATGAACATCATCCTATTAGTTGTGAAAATTGTAGTCAAATAGATCTTATTTTCCAAAAGATTCTACAATTTACTCCAAATGAAAAAAGCCAAATAATTGAACTCTGGGAAAAATTACAATATTTCTGGGCTCACCAAGCCAGGAAAACATATCTCAATGCACAATCTAAAGTTGCATTACTTTGACTAGATAAGGATGGTGCTGTGATCATAGTTGACTACAAAATGAAGATTTTGCCTCAATCAGCATGAGAGGTGAAATTTGATTTTTTTGGAAAAAAAGGATATACTTTGCATACCTTACTAGTATATACAAGAAAATTTGATGATTCTACTTTGTTGAATCTTGAAGTTTTAGATCATTGGTCATCTGACCCAACACAAGATGCTTGGTTCACAGCATCATCCTTTGATGGTTTATTTTCTACGATGGAAAAAAAACCTTTATGGATTGAAGTATTGTCTGATAATGGTGCACATTATCATAATAAAGAGTTGATGATGATAATTAGTCAATGGAGTAAATGGTATAATATAAAAATAAGATCATGGATTTTTTTGAAACCTGATGAAGCAAAGACTACTGTTGATTCCCACCATGCACAAGTATGTTTATTTTATTAAAAAAATTTTTACCTATATATAGAGTAATAAATAAATTTGATAATTTTAGTTAAAGCATGCAATAAAACAATATGTATGTATTGGATATGATATCTGGAGTGGGGAAGATATGGTAAATGCAGCAAAGGACTTCAAGGAACATCTTAACCCTAGCGAAAGACCAAAAAAAGCAAACAAAACATTATCCATTCTAGAGGGTATTACAAATTGGTCATATTTCACTTGGCCTACAGATGGTGACTCATCTGGCTATATTTGTGCACATTCTTTACCCAATTTTGGTACATGGAATACCTTTTCACCATTTGATATTAAGAAATCTCTAAAAGACCAAGAATTAATAAAACCAAATCCATCAAACAACACCAAGCTCAGAATGGACTATTCCATTGTCTAGTAAAGGTAGGATAAAGTTTAATTTTAATTTAAGAGACAAATTATTAATGAAATGAATTAAATTATTTTATTTATAATCACCACCACTATTATTATATTATATATTTATTTTATTATTGCTACTCATACCAATTCTATTAATAAATTTTTTTTGTTCAAATTTATTGTTTATTATTATCTTATTTATCTTTATAATTTTTTCTTTTCCACAACTCATTTTTTTCAGAGAAAGATCCAAAGAGATTGTCCAAAGATGTTGTAAAAGCTGAATTGAAAAAAAAGAAAAATCGAGTATGAAGAGAAGGAAAGTAAAAATGAATTAGTAGAAAAACTATGAAAGCAAATTGAAGAAACTCTAAACAAAATCACAGGTATATTATATAAATCTAAATAAACATTTTTTTATCTGAGCTTATTTCCCCTATGAAAATTTGTGTAGAAATTCGTTCTCAAGGTACAGTGTTGAACAATGCACCATCCATATCAATTGAAATGTCCAAAACAAAAAAAACACTGTATATGATACCTGGGAATGAGGATGAAGCAGTCAAAAAGAATGAATACAGGTACTTTATAATAATAATAATGGACCTTTCTGTAATGGGTTTTGTTCAGTAACAGACTGAGAATTTAAGTCCAATTTATATGTCATCCATATATAAATTATTATTGTTTATAACAGACATTGTTTCTTAAGTGAACTATAAATAGGAAAAAATTTAATATAATAATAAATATTAGATTAACAAATTTTAAATTCTCTAGAAGGAATTACTTTGAACTGGGTTGGGCTCTTCGTGAAAACCAAAATTTTGGAAAGCGTGGTGGAAGTAAACGCATGTCTGAACAGGTAAAACAACTTCTAAGAGCCTATTTTTTGTCAGGAAATGTAGATAAGAAGAATAGATTCACTGCTGAAACGATGCTTGCAGATCTAAAACAAAGAGTAGAAGCAGGCGTGTTGGATCCGGATGAGTTACCAAAAATAAATAAAAACTATAGAAAATTGGATAACGCGTTTTAGTAGAGAACATAAAAAAGAATCAGCTGAGAAAGAATTGGACATTATGTTATAAACAAACATACGAACCAATAAATATAATTTTGTTTTGTCATTTTTTACAAAAATGCAAATGGAAACATGATGTTACGGTAGAAAAGTAAGGCGAACTGGATGATTTTTACTATAAAATGTAAATGCACCCCGCAGATCACTAATTAAAAATTCACTCATTCTCACGAATTAATACAATTTAATTATTACGTATAGTATACTTTACAAAACCAACAAAAATAATTTATTACTTTTGTAAGTTTTAAAAAAAAACGAATAAATAGTATTTAATGTTTTTTTTTTATATATTCTTAAAGAAGATTCCTGGCTCTCCAGGTACTGCAAACTCCGTTAATCTTTTTTCTTCTTCTGAAACTTCCTCGGCATTCACAATTTCTGATTGAACATATCCTAAACTACGTTGAATAAATCCTTTTGCTATAACAAGCGTGTCATATTCATTAAATAATAATGCCCTATTAAATGCTTCTTTGCCAAATTTTTCAACTCTCTTTTTAAAATCTTGTACAAATGGCATGGTTTTTTTGTTTTTTAGAATTCCCTTCTCTCCTAAATTTGCTCGAATTTTACCATCATCAAATGAATTGGATTCCTAATTTTTATATAATAAATAAATCGATAATATTACTGTTAATCTTTTGGGGTATGATTATTTTTTTTTTTTAGACACAAACCTCATCATAATTTTGTTTTATAGCTTCAACCACCAAATCTTGCCACTCTGGAAATTTTGTTGCAACAAACAATTTAAGAGATTTAGGTTTATTGGGATCAAAATTATCTGCTTTACTACCCTTTTTCTTTTTTTTTTGTGAGGCACCTTCCAAATCACGAATGTTTTTTATTAATTTTCTAATATATTCAATTGCTTCAATTAAACTTTCATCAACAGGTTCTGATGGTGAAGGGAATGATGCATTTACTATAAATCCATCCTAAAATAGTTGAAAATTATTTTAATTAAATGGTATAGTAATTTTTATTAAAAATAATAATACCAACTTTTTGTAAAACTTCGCCCCATATATATTCAGACCAATGAGGAGCAATTGGTGATAATAATAATGCTTGTAACTCTATCCATCTTAATATTAAATCTCGATGCATTCCTTCACCTTCTTGTGATGTTGCTTCACGATACCAATCACGAGATGTTTGTAATTCATAAAAACCATATTTTAATGCATCACGGTAAAATGAACTTTTCATTATAAACAAGGGAAAAATATATAAAATTAAATAAAATTTTAAGTATAATATAAAACAAATCATTATTTCCACATACTCTTCGTAAGCATTCCTAGTTTGTTGAATTAACTTGTTCATTTCATTTTTGAAAACCCTATCATGAAAACTATCTGTTGGTCCAGTACGAAGATTATCTTTATTTTTGATTTGCTCCTTTAATAAATAATAATATTCTTATTATTGTTAACTTTTTTTTTTTAGAAAAAAAAAATGGTGCATTTGTTTGTGCATAAACAAACAAACAAATCACACATTTAACAAACCTCACACCATTCTTTTAATGTGAATAATCTTAATATTGCAGCATTTGCAGTAGCTTCCTCAAAATTTGCATCCTCAACTGAATCACCTGCATCTGCCAAACTAATTCTTGATGCATCTGCACCATATCTTTCTATTGACTCATGACCAGTTAAGAAATTTCCTGTGCTTTTACCCATTTTCTCTCCATTTAATTGCAAATGTCCATTTGACCTTATACCACAAGGCCAATGTTTTTCAGGAAATATGGCTACATGATTATATATGAAAAATGTTAAATGATTTGGTATTAGATCTTTACCAGAAACCCGAAGATCCAGTGGGTAAAAGTATCGGAATTCTCTTCTCATAATGTCAAGTTTTTCTTTCGAAATAGTAGTTGAAGTTGGGTATTGTGTATCACCAAATATATAATCCCAAACTTCATCCGTCATTTCTGATGCCTCTATCCCAAGTAGACCAGCTTTTGAGCCATCTAAAGTACCACCATGAAGCAAATGAGATACGGTATAATAGGCCATATAAATTGTTGAATCAGACAAACTTTCAACTAAATACTGAGAATCCCATGGAATTTTAGAACCAAGTCCATATGATCTTGCACAAGCCCATTGATTTAACCAAGCTAAAGTTTTTTCAAACTGATGCCTAGTCTCAAGACCAAAAGTATTTAATTTTTTCAAACATTCTTCAGCTTGCTTTCTCCATTCTGTCTCGCCATAATCTAAATACCATTGATCACAAAGTGCTACTACACATTCATCACCAGACCTTGACATAATAAGACCTTCAGGTTCATTATAAATAAAAGCAAGCCCTTTTGAAACCAATAAATCTTTGATTAAAGTTTTTGCCTCTCGAACAGTCTTCCCAGCATATTCACCTACGAGCATAGTTCCATCATAAAAGCCTTCTTTGTAGACCAATTCTTTAGCGTCTGCTAAAGCTACCCGATCCTTTTGTGAATTGATTTTTTTCAATTTGCAAACTTTAGGTGCAGCCAACTCACCATATGTTGGAGTATTAATAATTGGTATTGGTTCAAAATCTGCCACCCATGAAGGATCAATATTATAATATGCTGCCTTTTTCTTTAAATCCTGAAGTGTGATATAGTCATCCGGCGAGTCTGAAGGTACCGATGTTACAACCCCTGTTCCTTTTGTAGCCAATACATTCTCCATAGGTAAGACATAGACATGCTCATATTTACTTAATGGTGCATGCACTTTTGTCCCAAGGAAAATTGAACCTTTAAATTCTACTAATTGATCTACAACACCACGTTTTACAGAATATCCTTGAAATGCCATGTTTCGTGCTGCACGATAAGTGCAAATAAAAATATCAGACTCGTTTATTTTGAAAAGACCATAATTTATATCTACGCCAACATAACAATTAGTTTGTCCATACCTATATACAAATATATATATATT